AACAAAACACCTGCAAGATACAGTTCTGCTCGGACCCACCAGGGGCGTCATGTGTTCTAATCTATTGAATGACAACTGCTTAAGGTGGAAGAACATTTCCAGGTTGAAATAATTTTCTCTGGATTTGAATCTAAAACAATGATGTAATGAAAGAGAAATAATATAAATCAAAGTCTAAAATTGTATGCAGTAATTAACTAGGAAAAGTTAGGGTAACTGATTGAAACACAAAATACACAGAAAAGTATTTTATAAGCTTCTCTATTAAATGACATGGTTCAGCACCATGTGAAACTTTTCTTTTACTTAATACGTACCCGTTGAAAGCATCTATTTTTGGATTTCCTAGCTGTTCTTCTAAACTATTTAAATTAGTGTAATCCTTTCCTAGAAGGAATAAGCTATTCTTTTATCTTTTCTACTTTTTAATCTTTTAAGAAATGTAATACACAATTCTTTAAAGCTAAGATACAGTTCTAAGATTTTTTTTTTCTATTTTCAAAAAATAGCTTTTTGCTTTTTCTAAATCTAACTGCACCACCTAGAGGTAGAAAAGTGTAATGCACCTGGAATTGTGGACAAAATTCCGATAACAAGTCCTAACTTAATCCTTGCTGACCCTCCAAAAAGTTTCCAAGGCTGTTAATCACTTAGAAGCTGACTGCCCGTCTTTCTTCCAAGGAACTGCTGGTAGATTCAGACTGACAGGGAGACATGGCCTTTGAGTCAGCAATGCAACTCTGTGTACTTGGCCAACAGAGCTCTCCTCTAGGATTTTTAAACTGGCAACGGAAAAAAAAACCAAAACCCCAAAAGCCTAAAGTTCTTGTCAGTGTTAAGTGCTGATGAGTTGATGCTTACCTCTTAGTGTCCCTGTTTCTGAATGATCAAAACTGTGGCCAATCCTGTGCCAGTACCACAATCTCTGCTGTGCTTAAGCCTATGTTTGCAATATAATTAATTCTTTTCTGTGGTAAATATGTCATTTTAAAACATATGTTGTTGTGTTATCATCAACAAAGCTGATCTTCCGGTGGGTTTTCGGAGGTAATTAATTGCACGGGAGGAGATTGCCTAACCTTCTACCATTTAGCAGCTGGTATATATTCAAACTACATGCTTTTGGGATGTCAATATAGCAGTATTTCCTTGCTCTGTTCTGAGTACTGCCTCTTGGTCCAAGTATAGGTTTCTCATAAGCTCAATCAAATATTCAGGGATTCCTATTATTCTCAGAATCAGCCATAGCTTGTTTTGATCCACACAGTCAAAAGTCTCTGCATAATCAATGAAACACAGATAGACATTCTTCTGGTACTCTCTGCTTTCTGCCAAGACCCATCTAACATTAGCTGTAATACCCCTAGTACCACAGCCTCTTTTAAACCCAGCCTACACAGTATTTTTTTTTTTATTTTAGTGAATGTTTGCGAATCATACTGTGTGTCATTAAGCCATTCATAGACATTTTGTTTTATAGCATAAATGAAAATGCATTCAGGTCCTTCAATACCGTGTCTAATTTATTTTGTGTATTGCTTTCCACTCACTCAGCTTATTTGCCTCTTAGATTTTGCTCCCTTTTGCCTCCCTGTCTTAAAGATAATGGTGGTAATAGTGCAGGTTGTGAGGGCTTTAACTGCTATCTGGGAGAACAGTTTTACTTGAGCACTTGGTAGCCTGGCCTAGTGTCCTTTATGATTGAGTATAACCTTCAGCTCCAGAGATAGACACTTTTTGATGTCTGTAGTTTACCTGTTCTTAACCCTCATATCATTGGAATAAAAAAATGTCTACTTTGTTGTGTCTAGTGCCTTTCCTGTCATTATGTCTCTAAAAATGCGCCTTGATTCTGCACATTCTATCTTTTTGTGCTTTTATTGCAGTGTTATAATTTATTGTATGAGTATGTTACAATGTGTCCATTCTTCTACTGTTGATGTTTATTTCTTTGTTTTAGCAATCCATGTCAGTCCTCTGTCAATACCACAGTTCAAGATAATCAGTTCTTCTTTGGTCTCCTTTGTTCGGTGTCCAGCGTTCAGATGCTTAGGAAGTGGTTGGGAATACCGTGATTTGGGGCAGGTGCACCTTAGTCTTTAAAATGGCATTTTTGCTCTTTAGCACTTTAAAGAGATTCAGGACAGCATATTTGCCCAATGTAACATGTGTTTTTATTATTTTATATATTTATTTATTTATTTGTTCATTTGTTTATTTGTTTATTTACTTACTTACTTTACTGACTGACTGCTATGGTGATAGATTGTAGAGCCAGGCAAGATGAAATCATTGATAATAGTCTTTTCTCCATCATGATGTTATAGCTTTCAATCCAGTTATGAGGACTGTTGCAGACCGAGGGTCCCAAAGAATGGAATAATTTTATAATTATTAATAAAGAGACAAACAGCCAGGAATGTGATAGAGCAGAGAGCATAAAACAGGGGGCCAGCAGTTCTC